TAAAGCAGATTAGAAGCAACCTGAGTCTTCAAGTCGTAGCTGATAACCACTGGCAGTGAATTTCCCAATGCAGGGCTTGAGGTATTAACATTTAAAAAAAAACAATCACGAGACCCTCAAATACCATGACACTAAGTCGCGTGACCTTTAAGTCAAGTAGATTCAGGTTTCTTTTCCTTTGACTCTCGTTGTGCTTTTGGGATGGAAATAAGAGACCTTGTTGGGTTTAGGGAACATGGCAAGGAGCCACCATCACCTCCCATTTCTTCCCACTCTCACATTTCTGGTACCCTAAATTCAGGTATCGTAAGCGCCCATTTATTTTTAAGTGGTTTGTTTCAATGTTGACGCATTTTGATAATCCTTGTTTTTAAGCCAATTCGCGAAAGACTGTAAAGCTCGGTTGAAATTAATCTCTCTTTGAAGCTCAGGCTGACCAGAACCAGCCTTAAGCAGGTCCTGACGTTTGTCCAAGTTGGCTCACAAAGAAAAAAAAAATCTCTTTCCACTGAGCGAGGAATGGCCTGATGCATTTTATGAGTTACGATGAAAGGAGAAGGCGAGGATTCAAAGGCAGAATATTAGGAAATTGGCTAATAACGTGGGGTCCCAAAGCAGAGCCCCTTTGCTGCACCGTGTCCCTGGGTGCACAATGCCCCAGCAGCCCTCATTCAGTCCTTTCTGCCTGCGATAACACGTTTGCTTGAAACATCAAAACCGAGTTCGGAGAAAGCCTCGCACCAGAGCTGCATTCATTTTTTGGGCTGAAATCAAAACGCAGAGTCAGGCCTTTGGTGGCTGCTCTATAGCACTGAGCGAAAGGCCATTCTGGCTTTTCTTCTGCATTGCCCAGCTGTGTATTTTAGATAAAAGTCCCATTTCTGACCGGGGCACTTGGTAAGTGAGAGGATTGGGGGCTGGCTCCTGCTCTCCCCCATCTTTATCCCCATCACAGCGTGCCTTATGGCTCCTGGCCGTGAGCAGACAGGGACCCCCAGCATCCCCTTTTGCAAACAGGCACCAAAACACACCAAAACCCATGATCCCGACCTCCTGCCTGGCTGGCTGCTGCCCTACGAGCTTGGTGGGACGTGGTTGCTCCACACCCCACCAAGGCTAGATGGAGTCAAAGGCATGGGGACGCTGGAAGCCAGCTCAGCATGGCCCGGCACAGCTCAGCGACGACCAGCCACCTCAACCAGGGCTCTCTATTTGTAACGTAGAGATAAATATACACGAGGCAGAGCTGAAAAGACAGAGTCAGCTCCTCTCTGAAGTCCTTCGGCTCCTGTTACCTCCAGATCCCCGGGGCTCCGCGGCACGCACGCTCTTTACAGCAGCCGTCAGCCTGGCACAGCGCGGAGCAGATGGTCATAACGACTTGGCCCGGGGCCACCGTCAGCCCCCGGCTCCTTGCCTCACATGATGTCCACCCGGCCACCTGGGCAGGCCAGAGTGCAACCCAGGAGGGGCTGAAGCCGGAGCAGTTGCTGGTGTGGCAGGGGTTAAGGCTGAACGGTCCCAAAATCTCCACCTGGCTGGCTCGTGGTGGTGTCCCGGCACCTCCATGTGCTGAGGATGATACTGCTCCTGCTCCAGAGTGAGCATCAGGCTTGGGGTAGCTGTGGGACAGGAGCCTGAGCAAAGCTGAACGGCCCGGGGGATGGCAGGACCTCAAGCAGACCCTCAAAAGTCTTGTTACCACCCAATAATTCCCTTCTCTTGCTGGTCATCGCTGATGCAGCTTCGTTCTGCTGCCACGGTGGCCAGAGGTCCCAGGAAGCATCTGCTGCTGGTGGTTTGCCCCTAAAAGAAGGGCAGGAGAGGCAGAAAATTGCAGAGTGGGGCACAGAGCCAGGGCTGCAGGAGGAAGAGGAGAGAGGGAACCACAGGAGGGGCAGACAGCACCTCCTGCACCCGGCCATCCTCCCCCAGAAAGGGGGAAGGAGCTGGTGGGGAGATACCATGGCCACAGCCCGTCATCCCCTCGGGTCTGGGGACACAGGATGGGGAGCAGGGTCTTGCAGCCTGGCTGCAGGAGAGAAGCCACATGCAGAGATCAGCAGCGGGCATCACTCGGGTGTTCTTCACCCCGCCACCAGCAAATTAGAGGTTTTGCACCATGGCCCATAAACCCGGTGGTTGTTGGGGGGTTGTTTTCACCAAGAGCAGCAATTGCTCAAAATGTCCCCTGTGGGAGTGGCACAGCAGGGGCTGGGCAGTGATGCCTTGGTTTGGGGCAACAATGCCTTGGTTGGGGCGATGATGCCTTGGTTGGGGTGATGATGCCTTGGTTTGGGGTGATGATGCCTTGGTTAGGGTGATGATGCCTTGGTTGGGGCGATGATGCCTTGGTTGGGGCGATGATGCCTTGGTTGGGGCGATGATGCCTTGATGCCTTGGTTTGGGCAACGATGCCTTGGTTTGGGCAATGATGCCTTGGTTTGGGGCAATGATGCCTTGGTTTGGGGCAATGATGCCTTGGTTTGGGGCAATGATGCCTTGGTTGGAGTGATGATGCCTTGATGCCTTGGTTTGGGGCGATGATGCCTTGGTCTGGGGCAACGATGCCTTGGTTTGGGCAACAGTGCCTTGGTTTGGGCAATGATGCCTTGGATGTGGCAATGCCTTGGATAGGGGATGATGCCTTGGTTTGGGGGATGATGACTTGGTTGGGGCGATGATGCCTTGGTTGGGGTGATGATGCCTTGGTTAGGGTGATGATGCCTTGGTTGGGGCGATGATGCCTTGGTTGGGGCGATGATGCCTTGGTTGGGGCGATGATGCCTTGATGCCTTGGTTTGGGCAACGATGCCTTGGTTTGGGCAATGATGCCTTGGTTTGGGGCAATGATGCCTTGGTTTGGGGCAATGATGCCTTGGTTTGGGGCAATGATGCCTTGGTTGGAGTGATGATGCCTTGATGCCTTGGTTTGGGCAATGATGCCTTGGATGTGGCAATGCCTTGGATAGGGGATGATGCCTTGGTTTGGGGGATGATGACTTGGTTGGGGCGATGATGCCTTGGTTTGGCGGACGACGCCTTGGAAGGGGGATGACACCTTCATTTGGGTGATGATACCTTGTATGTGGCGATGCCTTGGATGGGGCAATGATGCTTTGGTTTGGGTGATGATGCCTTGGTTGGAGCGATGATGCATTGGTTGCAGCGATGATGCATTGGTTGCAGCGATGATGCATTGGTTGCAGCGATGATGCCTTGGTTTGGGGGATGACACCTTGGATGGGGGATGACATCTTCGTTTGGGTGATGATACCTTGTATGTGGCGATGCCTTGGATGGGGCAATGATGCTTTGGTTTGGGTGATGATGCCTTGGTTTGGGGCAATGATGCCTTGGTTTGGGAGCCTTAAGAGAGCCGTGAGCACGTGAGAGAGGCTGAACTTCAGCCCCGGCCGGGCTGTGCCCGTCCATAAAGAGGAGAGGCAGGGCAGGGGGGAGCTGCGCTCCAACTTCCTGGCGCTCGGGGAATCTTCCCAGCTCACGTTACCTTCATGTGTCCTTGGCTCATCTCTGTACAGTTGAAAAAACACTGTAAGGGGAGCCAGTTAATTGAGACAGCTGGTCTGGCGGAGCAAAACCCAGGGAACCAGTCCCTTCCCCTTATGCTTAACTGGAGACCTGCTGCTTTAACCAAACCGGGGGATTCGCACAGCCCCGCTGCTCTGGAGATGTTCTTGGGCTTGCATTAGCCCACCAGTCACGATGCCGTGCTGCCCACTGGAGCTCCACGTGGCTCCTGGGCTGCTCTACCACACAGCCCTGAGGAGCATCCAGCTCCCCACCATTTCAGCCCAGCAAATTAAGCAGAATTAACGGCGGTGGTGGGGCACTACCTCCACGATGACATGGAAGCCAAGAGGATGAGGAGGGTGGGGAGGCAGTGTTATCTCCAGGGCAGGCAGTGTTTACTCCCCCGGCGATGCGTGTCCCGACCTGTGCTCCACGAAAGGCTCCTGGTCCACGGGGGGTGGCCGGGGGGGGAGGGAGGGTGATGTTCCTAGGCACTGCCAGCATACAAATAAATAATGATAATAATACTCGGGGAGGGAGGAGAGGAGGGGGTTCTGTCATCTGACCCAGCGCCCATGGAAAGAGCAAAGAGCTGGCTGCCCGCGGGCGCCGACAGCCATTGGAATCCACTGACATTTGCTGGGCAAGCAGGGAAGGCTGACACGGGCCACCGGGACCACCGGGGACCACCGGGGACTGGGGGTGCCACCGCCAACCAGAGCTCTGCCCCACGGCGCCGGGATTTACCACTGCAAACCCTTCGGGTGCAAAGTCCAAACAGGAGGTGCCCCAACCCTCACCTGCAACACCCAGCAGCCCTTATCTCACGGGGGTTTTATGGATGCCTGTTTAAATAATACCCTCGGAGTGATGAAGATGTTCACAGAATCACAGAATCTTCTAGGTTGGAAGGGACCTTAAAGATCATCTTGTCCAACCATCAACCCAACTTTGACAAAAATAGACACCCACACAACAAACAAGGAGCATCATCACTAAACCAGACCTCCCAGCACTACATCAACCCGTCTTTTGAACACCTCCAGGGATGGGGCCTCAACCACCTCCCCGGGCAGCCCATTCCAATGGCTGAGAACCCTTTCAGTGAAAAAATTTTTCCTAATATCCAGCCTGAGCTGGATACTGTGTCTCTTCAGCAAAGTGGTGGTTTCCCTCCCTCAACCTCATTTCCTCAGCTCTACTCGGGGGAAGTTGGTCACAGGGGTTGGGTCTCCTTTTGCTTGAATAACCCTGAAGGAGACAGGGACATGGATGAGCAGAGCAGGAACCAGGGCAGCCCTGAGCTGCAGGGCAGGGAGAAGGCAGAAGATGCTGCCTGGAGCCACCCTGTGAGATAAAACCCTGTGAAATAAGCAAAACACAGATTTGAGGGAGAACTACTCACTTCCAGGAGGGTGGCAGGCTCGCTCGAGGACTGTGGACTGATGGTCGTGTTATTCTTGCAGGATCTTCTGCTGTAGAAGCGTGGATGAAGGCAAAGCCTACGATCTCAGTAAGTCAGCTGTGGGACCAGCACCGGGAGGAGAGGAGGTGGGCACTGGTGTCTAAAAATGCACCCTGAAGTACAGCACGCTGGGGAGGCTGGGTTCGTGGAGGACACTGCCTTCCCTCCCCTGCTTTTCCACCTTCTGGGAGTCTCGGGAAAAATAAAATATCTTTCACTGAACTTACCAAACAGGAGGGATAAACCCCAAGTGGTGTTTTATCAGTGTTTTATACACAAGTTACCAGTTTTGCTTCCCCCGTTCCGTAATTTCCAGGGAACTAATAAATAGCAGGAATGATTAAAAAAGGTATTTGATTTGGAGGTGATGCTGTGGTACCACAAAGCGTTGCCGCTTGTGTTCCAGTACAACGCTGGAGCTCACTGCTGGATTTTCTTTTCTTTTACCTCTCTAGAAGTACGTAGATATTTTATATGATATAGTAAAATATCTCTGGGAAAAGAGAAATAAAAAAGGACTAAACTAGCTAGCAATAAAGTGACTGATGCTCCTTCCCACCCAGTCTGGCTGCGCTGAACCTCAGCACTCTTGCCTGTAATGATTGTAACTGTGCTTGGCTGGATGAAGGGGGAAGGGAGAGGGGTTGGAAGCCACCAGTTCATCTTCAAAAGAACCAAATGATGGGCTTTGCTGAGCACAGCGGCTGTCCCAGCACTATGGCAAACCTGGGATTTCCCCAAGAAGGAGCCAGGGGGAGAGTGAAGGCAAAGCAGAGCATCCTTCCTGGGGTAACGACTCCAGGAGCCTGCAGGAATCCAGCCCATGGCGCTTCCGAAAGGGAAGCGGAGCCAACGGCGCTGTCCTTGCAGCTGTCTCAATGACAGGAATAATGTGCCGCAGAGCTAAGGGGGACAAATGGTAAATCTCCAGCTAAGAACAATGATAATGAAAGCACAGAAGTGAAAATTCATTACTCGAGGCTGCTCGGGAGCTACCCTGAGGGACCCTCCGAGGCTTTCTGGGTTGTTTTAACCCTTCAGGCCTGGCTCCAGTGTTCAGCCCGATGTGCTGTGCCACTGACTGTGCAGCCCTACCCCCTTTTTTTCCCTCATTTCTTAATTAAAACAACTTTTGCCTTCTCCAAACAAAGCATCGTGCCAGACCCCACAGCATCCTGCCATTCGGCACTCAGCTTCCCAAAACTGTGCAAGCAGAGAGAACAGCATAATGTGATTTTTTGGTCAGCTGCTGGAGGAAGGAGCCTAATAACGTTTTCTCCTATTTCCAACAGCTCACGTGGAGGTGGGAGCAGTGACTAGACAAGACAGACAGCCCAGCTCCAGAGGTGAGTTCATTCCCTCCTGAGTGGAGGGGTCTTTCTTGACTACTTTTTGGCCTCCTGGAGGAGAGGGGATCTGTTTCAGCGCTGCTAACGTTGCTTAGGATGCCCCAGCATCCTGCCAGCTCTCTGAAAAAGTTAGAGATGCCCATCAGGCATCTCCATGGCAACCTTGGGATGCTCATTCCAGCCAGGCACAGTGGCCATGGAGCTGCAGGCTGTCAGGTTCATCTTCTACCACCTTTTGGAAGAGCAATGAGAAGCGAGAGGGTGTCTGGTTCCTCAGCACACCTCGGGGCTCAGACATGGGGAACAGGGCAACTGGCTCTTCCAAGCTGGTAGCAAAATACCTGGCAAAGGGTAAAAGTTTGGCCCGTGCAAAAACAATGTGGTGTTTTGGGTGGGAATGGCAGTGACACAGTCAGGCTGAGAGGAGGTACAGCCCTCGAGGAGGGCAGGAGATGCGGTAAAGGAGAATGCCACCCGTGCCAGCTTGATAGAGCAAACCCACACCTTGCCTCCTGGCCCATGAACAGCATCCCTGCCCTCAGGGCAATGCAAAGGAAGGGGGCAGCTCCAGGCAGCACTTACCTTCTAGTCCTTGGCCAAAAAAGTACAAGTTTACATGTGGAAGAAATAGTCTTGGCTCCCTGTGGACACATTCTTCCCACCAGCCAGCTTTACTTATTGTCTGGGACACAGAAGACCTCCTTCACATCACTCCTCATCCTGGAAATACATGGAATCAACAGCATTCCTGGTTCAAGGACCCCTATGTAGCAAGAACAGGCCTGCCTTGCCCTGAATTAAGTTTATGCATCTCCTATTGGCATCGTCACACCTCATTCTGTCCTGACAAGCACCGGATTCTTCATTCAAGGGCACCTGAGATCACTTTTTTTGGTAGACATAGTTCCGAGAGAAACATCAAGGTTATTCCTCCAGAGGTCTCACATAAAATTCAAACTGTTCAGCCCTTACTACTGACACTGTGGTGTGTTCCACCAGCAGCAAATACGCATAAACCATCTCAAAGACAAGAAGACAGTTTCCTCAATAGCTTAGCCAACTCATCGGCATACTTCCTTCTATTGCCACTGGTGTGTCATCAACTCATCCAATAGCTCAGGTGTTCATGATCATCATGTAGAGCACCCAGCTCCTTCCACAGCATCCTGGCACCTTGGTTTAAGAAGAAGTAACCCCAACGAGAACTGTTTCATGACCTTGCCTCCAAATGACCATTCAGGTCCTTCAGCTCTAACTCCAGCCACACACAACCAGGGGGCTTGCCCATCTGCGGACAAAGCTCCCAAGGAGCAACAGCCCCACCCTGGTGTCTCAGGAAGGAAAGTTGGGGTGTTTAGTCCCCCCAGGGCCACTGTCACTCCAGAAGGGTTGATTCCTACAGTGTCTGCTTTCCCTCAAACATCAGTACTCATACTGAGCTGCACGTATTTTTCCAAACTTGCTTTCCATCTACGCTTGTCATTGTATTAGAAAATACCAAGTTGACTGGGCAGAGGAGATAACTCATTTGTCTACTGGGTCAACAAGAAGAAGGGGCTTTGCTCATCACCGCAGCAGAGAGATGT